GGGGGCGGCGGGCGCGATCAAGTTGAAGCCGAACGCGGCGTCGGCCCTGACAGGCGCGCGCAAAGTCGAGTCCTTCGGCGGGGACCCCCCCGGAATATTCAAAACGCAAAAGTACCCGGGGCGTCAGGCAAGATGGGGCGAAGCTGAACCAGAGGTGGGGCACGGGGGCGCCAGTGGCGGGAGCGGCGCCGGCGCGCCTGGTTCGCATCTGGGCCCCATGTCCCCCTGGAAAAGCAGGCGGCCTGAAGAAATGGCGGGGGCCCCTCAGAAGCCAGGCCCTCGCGGGGCCGCCCGGCGGTCCGTAGGGGAGGTGCTCGTGTTTCTAACTGTTTCATGGGATCCTCCATGAGTCCTTGAACAAGGTCCGGATGAAAAAAAAATTGCAGCAGCCCCCGCCCCCCCCAAAGGCCCAGCGATTGCGCCGCAGACCTCCGCGGACAGCGGGTGCGCATCGGCGGTGGCCGGCGGCCCGGCGATGGCGACCGGCCGCCCAGGCGAGCCGTCAGCCGCGCGCCACGGCAGGGCGCACAGCTCCAGCGGTGGGCCGGCTGGAACGAATGGGATCGGAAAGAACTCATTGGGAGAAACACCCACGACATCCCCGCGCCCCACGGCCAACTCATGCCGGCGCGGGGGCGGAGGAAAGGGGGCCAGGGAAGGCCGAGCCAAGCCCGCTGACGTGGCGGCAAAAATCTGGGGGAACCCGCGGAAAGGGTCGGAAAGCATCTAAAGGTGGGAGAAAGGAGACCCTGAAACCTCGAAGCACATTAGCTTGGACAGCTCCTGAAGTCCAAGAAGGCGCACGAGACGGGCTGGGCGCGCGCGCAGCAGCGGCGCCCAGGCAGCTGCGTGGCAGGAGGTCAAACCTCATGCGCTCCAGGCTGAGCTGGTCAGTCACGGCCGCGCTGTTGAAGTCCTGCACCGTGCTGAGGCCCTGGCCTCTCGCCGTCAGCTCCTCGGACGGTGGGGTGCCGGTGAGCTCGAGCACCCGCGCGGCGTAGCAAGGGCGCGCGGTCTGCAGCGGGCTGGCTTAGGGCGGCGGGCTGGGAAAGGGCGTCACGCTGGCGCGGGGCGTCGGGTAGGGCGTCGGGCTGGGGTTGGGCGTCGGGCTAGGGTGGGGCGTCGGGCCGGCGATGGGCGTCAGTGGGGCAAAGTGTCGGGCAAGTGTCACGGCGGGGGCACTTTGCCCCATCTGATGGGGCGAAGTGTCGGGCAAGGCGTAATGCTGGGGAAGGGCGTCGGGGAGGGAATCGGCTTGGCGTCGAAGGTCGCGCGGGGCGTCCGGCTGGGCGGCGGGGTGGGGTCGGGCGTCGGGCTGGGGAAAGGCGTCGGGTTGGTTGGGGTCGGCCTGGTGTCGGGCGTCGGGCACGGCGCCGTGCTGGGGGGGGGCGCCGGGTAGGGCGCCAGGTTGGTGTCGAACGTCTGGCAAGGCGTCGCGCTGGAGAAAGGCGTCGGGCAGGGCGTCGGGCGTCGCGCAAGCGTCGTGCTGGGGAAGGGCGTCGGGTAGGGCGTCGGGCTGGCGTCGAGCGTCGGGCAAAGTGTCGCGCTGGGGAATGGAGTCGGGTAGGGCGTCGGGCTGGCGCCGAGCGTCGGGCAAGGCGTCGTGCTGGGGAAGGGCGTCGGGTTGGGCGTCGGGCTCGCGTCGGGCGTCGGGTCGGGTGTCGGGCCGGCGTAAAGTGATGGTTGGAGTCGAACGTGCACTTCATGGGGGGGGGCCGATCGCCCGGCAACCAAGGGGGCCCCGGCGTCTGGCGCCGCGGGGGTCGGCAGGTTCGCGAGCGAGCAAGCAGGCAGGGAGAAGAGAGCATCAGCGGGCAACAAGAAAGGGGCGCCTCCTCAGTGCATTCGGAGGGAGAAGAGGCTGGAAGCACAGAGACGCACTGCATATGTGGGGCCCGAGGACGCCGTGCCAATGCCGCGACATTCTCCGACCTCCCTGAATTCCCAAACGGAAGTGTGCGGAGTGCGAGGGAGGATTGGGATTAGAAGATGGGCGTGCGCAGGCGTCATCCCGCGGCGCCCAAGCGAGAACGAACCCCGAACTCTCGTCGCAAACATGGCCCTGTCGCTCTTCCCGTGTGAGTCGCGAGTCGCCCCGTCGAGAATCCAATCAGAATCGCGCAGCAGTTGGCCCATGAAACCCCCAGGGCCAGAGCAGGCGGGTTAGGCGGTGGTCAGCGCCGCGCCCGGGGACATTGGCAGCTCCAGAGCGATGCGCGCGGGTCGGCGCCGCGCCCCGCGCTGCCGTCGCGGAACTGGCGCGGGCGGCTGCAGGCGAAGCGCCGGGCACCACGCGGCGCTGGGCGAGCCGACGGGTGGCAGCCTGGGCGCCAGCCGTGCCGCCCAGCATCGAGGGCGCTGGACATCGACGGGCCCAGGCCTGACCGCTTTGTGGGCTTTGTGGAAGGTCCCGAATTGCTGTCATGCCCAGAAGATCAGCTACTTGTTCGCCAGGGCCCAAGCCTCCCAAGCCTCCGCTATCTTTGAGTCTCGCCCATGATCTGCATTCGGACGATTGGGCGAGAAACCCCTCTCCTTTCGTCGAGCCAATCCTCAGGTCATCGGAGCAAGTCGAGGTAGTCGGCGAAGATGCAGATTGAAAGGGCGGGGGGGGGGGGCGACTGCAGGGATCTGCGCCACTGCGCGCAGCTAGGCACGAGCGCCCACCTGACTTGAACCAGGCGGCCAGGGAGGGCACCGAACACGCAGAGCTGCATTGGGAGATCTCCTGTCTGAAGGAACCTCACATCAATGCGATCATCACCTGGGCAGAGGCGACGCTTTCGACGCGCCCTGTCCGAGAACGCCTTCCCACGCACAACTCCGCCGTCGCCATGGAGAGCGCGCCAATGGCTCGAGTCTCCTCCGCGAGGAAGAATTGGCGACGAAACACTCGCGAACAAGCCTCGGCACCAAAACCTGTTGCCGCTGCAAAGGTCGTCGCGTTCATCATTTGAGCGGCCGCCAGTTCATGGAAGACGGAGCATCAAAGGCGTTATGCTGTCAAAAAAAACATCGGTTGCTATTGATGTGTCCGAGAGCACGGCGACTGACGGGACGCCAACGTAACGCGTAAGGGCGCTCGGATCCTCTTCCTCCCTGGGCTTGCCCAGCAAAACCTTAGTGGATTCCAGCCAGCGTCCCCGTCGAATAAGCGCGACCAGGACTCGCCGAGGAATCGCGACCGGGACTCTGGCTTCGACCGCCAGATCCCTGAGCGCCAAAACGAAGAGAAACAAACACAAAGGCCACGGCAATATGCAGTGTCTGTCATGCTCGCGAAAGCAGACAAGGATGCCTGACATATGGCCCAGATGCAATCGTGGCGAAGAGGAGCGTGCGATTGCCATGCACACTGCAATTCGCCCTCAAGCCGTTCTACACAATCAGGAGCCCCCTGGAGCATTTGCTGGAACTTTGCTGAGGGCGCCCCCCCTAACAAGTGTGACGTGGGACGCCCCCACTTGCCCTGGGGTGCCACCTTCAGCGCATGGCTGCTTCGGTTTCGTCCAGACCCTGGCGTGCTGCTGCCGCTGAAGTTGCCGCTGGTACGACTAATCTTGGTCCTCACTAACTCTTCGCGTTTCTCTCGGCGTCTGCGCGGGCGCTCCGGTGACGAGGAAGACTCCTCGTCGGCCGCCGCTGGGCCCTCGCGGCCGCTACAAGCGGCCGCCTTTTGGAGCGGGGTTGCTCTTGGTAGCAGTGTCCCCGCCACCAGACCTATGACTGCTGCTCATGGTGCGTCGAAGTCTTCAGCAAACCCGCCCACGTCTTGGTCTTACTCGAGTACTTCTGCGGGAACTGCTGCCGCTGCTCAAGCCGCTGCGCAACGAGCTGCCACTGCTCCCTGGTGCGCCTGCTCCCCAGTCACGCGTGCATCGACGCAATTTTCTTCGGCGTCCTCGACCGCTGCTGCAACAACGCCTGCCGATGATTCTGCAAGTGCAAGCGGCGACCTTCATCGCATTCATCTGCGCCTGGACCTCCGTTGGCCTTGAGTGCCGCACTGGAAAAAAGAGCTGCTGGGGCCGATGCAAGTAGGCACAAAATGATGCATCTCCTCTTCGAACGAACGACTTCGAAGTGCTGTTCCGCTTCGCCGTGCGCCAGCGAGTGAGGGTCAGGCCGCTGCCACCATTCCTCCAACCTCCACGCCCTTCACATAGCACAGCGTCGCCTCTGGAGCATGGCGGTGTTCGAGGGCAGCGCCGTCCCGAGGCACGTAACAGCGATGGACTTCGGCCTCTTGTGGTCGGCTGCCGCTCCTTCACGGTTCTCCCACGATTAGGGCCCAGCCCTGCATATCCAATTAGCTACCTGTTCCCTTCTCGGGGAGTCAACCCCGCCCTACCCTCTCCGATGTGCCCTCGCCTGCCAGTGGTTACACTCATCTGTATGAATCTTCGCTCTGCAATTCTGGGCCATCATCCTTTTACTCGCCGTGCGCGAACCCTGTCGGCCACTCGGGGCGTGGCCCCACCACGCATTGTCTGCAATCGCATTGTAGCACTCTCTTCGCAGCATATGCATAGGCGCATATGCATCTGCTGTATGTTTCTCTGAGATAGGAGCGCGCCTAGTGAAAAGCCCACGGCCTACTGACTACACCCCCATACCCCCCCTCCCACTCCTCTTCTTCCTATGTCCTCCTCACTCCTCTAGAAGCCACCCAGACGGTGTCGGAAAAGAAGGGGTCGGAGGTCGGAGGATCCCGCCGCCAGATGCATCCGCAACGTCGGCGTGGAAAACATCGGCATCCGCATGGAGCCGCATCGCCGATGCATCGGCGATGCGGCGCGATCCTCCAACCCCATCTAGGAGGCCTAGACCCCTCCTCACCTCCTCCTTCTCCTCATCCTTCCTCCCCAGTATCTCGCATCCTCCTCCTCCTCCTCCTCCTCCTCCTCGCCCTCCCGATTCCTCCTCGCGCGTTCCTCTGCCTCCTCGGTTTGAGCGCCCGGGACCCCCGACAAGGGCGGCCCGACTCCAGGACAGCGCGCCTGGGGCCTCGCCGCGCAGGTGGCGCAGCCGGAGCAGCACGGGCAGCTCGCTGGGGTTGCTCAGCTTCAGCTGCCTACTTTGCCTCGGCCGAAGAGGGCGAGGGGAGATGAGGATGACATAGATCGAGGTGGAGTTGGGGGACAGAGGATCGAGGAATATTTGTTCACCGCACGCGCACCCGCAATAATCCATCATCTATCGTCCGTGCACACGAGAGGAAAAACGGAGACACAACAAGCAGGGATAAGCAGAAGAAGCGGCAGCGAGGAAGATAGGGTACTGGAGTGGTCGGCCACATGCGCCCCTGGCGCGCAAGCGACAGGAAACGAGATCCCCCGGGCCACCATCAATCCTATCTGACGCCCGAAACCAGGTGCTGGGCGCACGCAGCCACGACGAGCAGCAGCCGCGGGTGCACTGCGGAACAGCAGCAGCGGGACACGCAGGGGGGGGAGCACGCAGCCGCTCCAACGAGAAAAAAACAGCGGCAGGGGGGACCGCCACTGGGGGGGGGGGGAGTGGGGGGGCTAGACGAAAACGAGACCCAACGGACTTCCACGCACCCTCTACTCTCCAGGCCTCGGTATACCAACAGAAGCCAGACACTGGCTGCAGGCGCCCGGTACTTCAAAGAGAGCCTCGCGCGGGCGGGGGGAAGCAAGAAATTCAATACGAAAAAACACCGCGCTGTCGGTCGGTTGCCAGTCTGCCTGAGGGCGCCTCACTCGCGGTTACGGGGCAGGCGGCGCGGGAAGCCCTGCACGTCCAGGAGCAGTAAAAAGAGCAGAGGGGGTGGCGCGGCGAGGAGACAGGAAGCAACGTATGAACGGTCAGTGGCTCCGCGAAGCGGCCCTGGGCTCAATGCGCCACAAGCGCAACAAGACAAATGCAGGAAACACGCTAGCATCACAACGAAAAGGTAGGGCTGCACCTGGCAGCGGTCTGCCGCTTCCCTGCGGCCCGGGGTCCACGCCAGGGCATCGGCGCAAAGACGCGCCCAGGAGGCAAGGATGCAGCGAACCAACGAACGAGGGCCTGGCCGAAGGAGGTCGCCCCCGAAGGCCAGGGGCGCGGTTACGGCTCGCCTTCAACAAGAAAGAAACGCAACAAAAGCGGCAGTGTGATCGCTCTATTGGCACTGTCTTCGCTCTCCTAGGGGCACGGGCACGCGCGAATTGACGTCGCGGCAAGGCGCTTCGCCTCCACGGCAGGAGAGGTCACGCCCTGAGCGAACAAAAATGGCAAGAGAAACCCTCACATTCCTCTTCTTCTCGTGAGCGAGGGGGAGGGAGAGGGAGAGAGAGAGAGAGAGGGAAGGACCGAATGGGGCGACTGTAGATTCGCCACCGTGCCTCGGACACGAAGTGGTGCGCCCCAAGGCTCAAAACTGTGGTGCTGACGCAGCCAGAACTGAAATTTTCGAAGGGCCTGGGCACTCCGGAGTTCATGGCCGTCCCGGGGACTTCTGGGGTTACCCCCGTGAGTCTTGGATTGGTTCCCGCCCGCCCAAAACGACCTCCCGCACCGTCCGATGTGTCCAAGAGGGCTCCAATTTGCTGAAAGATCGCTGCAAGTCGCCCGAGATGACTTCCCGACGGCCCAAGACGCCTCCAAGACGACCCAAGATGCCTCCAAAAGCACTCCCAAAAAGGCCCCCAGGAGGCAAACATCATTGATGTTCATTTGTTTTGAAAAACTGTCTGAGTTTCCGCCTTTGCGGGTTCCCGACGCTCTAAGATGGCTCGAGGCACCCAAAATCGCCCATGAGGCCCCCAAGAGGGTGCCGAGACGGCCCAAGAGGCCCCCAAGATGGCCCACTAGGACTTCAAGACGGCCCAAGAGGGCCCCAACAACGCCCCAAGAGGGATCCCAGAGGGAGAACACGAAGCGCCATTTCGAGCTCTCCTTCCCAAGAGGTCCCCAAAAGACTCTCAAGAGCCCTCAGGAGGCCACCAAGAGTCCCCCCGGGTCAAAAAAAATCACCCCCTGAGGCCACCGAGTCCTCCCAAGGGGCCCCCGAAAGCACCCGTGAGGACTCTGCCCCACAACCCATGCAAAGTGGCGGGATCGGGCGAGGGATACTACATACTGCATGATGCTTCTGTGGCGAGCGACGCAGGCCCGCGCAGAGTGAAAACAACAGACCTGGCAACTCTGCCCCAGGACGACCCCGCTACTCTGAAGTCCGTATCCGCCACGTCGTGGGTTCTGCCCCAGCCGTTCTGTGTTACGCCTCCTCCTCATCATCATCCTCTTGCCCTGTCTCTTCCTTGCCACCTCTTCCTGCCCAGCTCCGTGCTTCTATTTCTGGCGGTGTCGGAACGAGGAGCTCACGCGAACCCATGTCATGTCGGAAGCATGTGGACTGGCTCGGGGCGAACCTTGCGCTGCGTTCATCCTGTCATCCATTTCCGTCCCATTTCATGTGAGGGGCGCTTGGGTCCTGATGTAAAAAAATATATGAAAGCATACCCCCCACACATCCATCCTATCCGGTTCCTATCTCTCTCTCTCTATAGGTATGTGTATATATATGTATATATATAAGTATATCCACCTATATATATAAACTATACATGTATATATATATATATATATGTGTTCTATACACGTCTGAGTATGTATATATATATATATACACATATATATATATACATACATACATATATACATCTATACATATATCGCCCCCTCCAAAACCAACTCCCCGCGCCCCTGTTCCATCCGACTCCCCGCCCCTTGAATCCGCCGGCCCCTTGTGGGTCTCTAGGCGTGTGAGACTGTCCCCCCCCATAAGCCCCCCCTGGGACCCCAAACCGGCAATTTGATCCCGCTCCTCGTCCGGCACGACCCACCCCCGAACTCACGAGGCGGGCTCCCCACGCTCGTTTTGTAGTTCCAAAACAGCCCGTCGAGGCCCCCCAAACACCCCCAAGACGGTCCAAGAGAGCACGAAGTCTCCGAACGATCGCTCCAACACGCCCAAGATGGGCCCAGGACGGCCCAAGAAACCGCCAAGACACCCCAAGACGCCTCCAAGAGGCCTCTCAAGAACCCCCCAAGACGACCAAATCGTCAACTTACAGCGGGAAAAAGTACAAGTATGACATCTGCGATTTTTCGGCCTTCGCGGCGTTGGCGACAATCCAAGAGGCCCCCAAAACCGCCCCAAAACGGACCAAGGGGCTCCCAGTGGGCGTCCAAAACAGCAACAAAAGTTCCGAGACGGCCCAAAACGCCCCCAAGACGGCACAAGGGTGCCCCAAAACGGTTCAAAAATGGCCCTAAGAAGGGGGACCTCGAACCCGTAATTCCAACTTTCCGCCCGAAGAGGCTCCCAGGCACCCCGAAGATGCCCCCCGATAGGCCCCAAAATGCCCCCAACAGGCACCCAAAAACACGAGGAGGCCCCAAAGAAAATCAACAGAGACCCCCAAACGGCCCTCAACAGCCTTCAAAACTGCCTCCAAGGAGCCCACGAGAAGCGCCCCCACGATATCCCAACGGACATCCCAGGCGCTGCAGACCCACAACCCAAACACGGTGGCGGGGTGGGCCGAAGGCAGCTAGAAAATGCGCGGAGTCCAGCTGTAGCGACGGTGCCGCCCCAGGACGCCCGATCCATCGCCTCTATGTTCACCTCTCTCCCTGGCCCCCAAACCGTAACGTCGTCCAACTCCCTTCAGAAAATATGCACGTTTAGCATATACAACTCATGTCCCTCCCCTGCCCCCCAAACCGAAGCATCGTCCAACTCCCTACCTCCTCCTCCTCCTCCTCCTCCTCCTCCTCCTCCTCCTCCTCCTCCTCCTCCTCCCACTCCATCTCCGTTTGTAACGCCCCTCTCTCTCCGAGTTCCCCCGTGCCGGCCCCAAGCATTCGCGCGCGACCACGAAAGCTGCCACGGGTCTCACGCGCAGGCCTTGCACTTCAGCGTGCGTTTATGGTGGGAACGCGCGACGTGCGGTCCAACCGCGAGCTGAGATTTTGGGAGTTTCCTTTTGCAGGCGCCGAAGCACCCGTACGCTTGCCAATTCCGTGCCGTGAACCCGAGGTCCACGCAATCCGCGCACACAACTTTGCTCTTCCTCGTGAAGTGATCACTCTCTTGCCGGTCGCTGATGTGGTCCTGCCGAGGGAACTCTTTCTCGCACGCCCCGCACTTCAGCTGTCGCTTCAACCGTTTCGACTTATCGGCCACACCTTTCGCGGTGATGCACGGAAGAAATGAAAAACGCGGACGAGAAATGGTGCACAACGTGCGAAGGGTGGGCAACGAGCGGAGGGTGACGATGCGACGCGGCATGGTGCCGGTCGGAGTGCGGATGCAGCGGCCGGCAACGGGGAGCCAAAAAGGATTCGGACAATGTACCGCGCGAAGTGTAGCCATGTCAAAGCCAAGCACAGGGCCCCCCAAATCGAGGAAACTTCGTTCCAAAACTCTCACGATGGCCTTTTGGACCAGCTTGAAGCCGTCCGAGGCCATCTGCGGCGCCTCTTGGGCCGTCGTGGGCGGCACTTGGGCCGTCGCCACTTGGGAGCCTCTTGGGGCCCGCTTCGGGCTTCCTCCTCCTCCTCTTCGGTCATCCTTCTCGCTCGCTCGTTCGCTCGCTTCTCTACTCCTCCTCCTCCTGCTCCTCCTCCTCCTCCTCCTCGCTCCTCGCTCCTCCTCATCCTCCTCCTCCTCCTCCTCCTCCTCCTCCTCGTCCTCCTCCTCCTCCTCCTCCTCCTCCTCCTCCTCCCCCTCCTCTTCCTCATCCTCATCGTTCTCCCTCTCGCTCTTCGATCCTCGCTCCTCGCTCCTCGCTCCTCCTCCTCCTCCTCCTCCTCCTCCTCCTCTTACTCCGCTTCCTCCTCGCTCTTCGCTCCTCCCCCGCCTCGCTCCTCGGTCCTCGCTCTTTTCCATTCGCCTCCTCGTTCCTCGCTCGTCTTCGCTCCTCCAGACAGCCCCAAATGCCCCGAAGACGGCGCGCAAAGTATCCAACATGCCCCCCAAAGATGGCCCCATCGCTGCCGGGGGGCCGCCATTGCTGAAGAGTCTCTGATGATCGACAACCTCCGACTTCCATGAAACATCTCGCGCACCCCCACTCCTCCTCCACCACCTCCTCCATATCCTGCTCCTCCTACACCTCCTCCTTCTCCGAGCAGGCCAGCCTCCAACACCGAAAAGCACCATCAAAGCCTTGAACTCAGGTAAGAGGTGGCGCCCCAAATGCTCCCAACCGCCAGGGTAGTAAAAACAAGGGGTCGGCGGATGTGGCGTAAGCCTGTAGAATTTTCCACAGGCGTGCGAACACCTGCATAAGCCTCAGAAGAACTCCAACACCCGATTGCCGTTGTCGTCATATCGTCGTCGTCGTCGCTCGACGTCGTCGTGGCTCGACGTCGTAGTGTCTCGACGTCGTCGCTCGTTCGACGTCATCGTCGTCGTCGTCAACGTCAATTGCGCCGTCGTCTGCGCATGGCACGGCGTCGTCAGCGCCCGCCGCACATGGCGCCTCGCGTGTGCGCGAACGACGCCGTAGTCGAGCATGCTGGTGCGGCGCAGCTCTACCTGGGCGATGCACGACGCGGGGTCGGCACGAGGACCCCAACGTGTTCATTGCGTTACACATGATTTGTGTGTTGTAGTGATGTTTGTTTGTATCATGTGTGCTCTTCCTAAAGCACCCTGATTCATGCCATCCGTGAACGCATGACCCAATTCGAACCCTTCAATCCATAGAAGAACAAAGACCGCACGTGTTCTTACCATGGATGGGATGAACCTATTCAGTCAATCCATTTTCCGGATTGAGGGGCGTGCACACTTCAAACCTTTACGTGTTTTTCGATGGGAGCCCAAGACGGAACCCAAGACAGATCCACCTCGCTTTTGGAATCCAAGACGGCTCCAAGACGGCGACCAATACGAGATCGTGTTGTGCCTCGTTTCCAAACCACTGTCGAAACAGGTGTTCGTTCGCTTTAGCACATGTTGGACATGTAGTTGGTCTCCAATCGGCCCGATGATCCCCATAGTACGGCTAGTCGGCCCAACTTCACGGATAAACTGGGATATCCAACATAACTATTAGCAACAGCAGGTGTATTCAATGAGATTTGCCTAGCAGGGGTTTGCCTAGGGTCCCTTTAAACTTTTCAGGCTCGACTATGACACACTGAACTATGTAAATGTGCATCGCCTTTGAGATGTGTTTCTCGAATCACCTCTCAAAGATCAGGAGCCTAGCTTGAAGCCCGAATCGGCCCCGACGCGTGCACAGAAAACATGACATGCGGACTGCGCTCGGACACAACACGGGAACGCTCACTGCCCCCATCATCGGGCCGTGTCTTGGGCCATTTGTTGGCCCATCCCGGGGCCTTCTGCAACACTTCTTGGTGCCTCTTGGTTAATCCTGGGGCCCCCTAGGGACAATGTAGAACAGCTTTCTGGCTTTCTCTGGCCTCATGCCCTGGATGGGTACCAATGGTACGGAGAGCAAGCCTCCAAATGATAGACAATCAGACGATGACCTCAAGCACCACGATGAGCCACACGGCATACCCCGCAGGACCGATCCCACTGGTTTCGGGATGTGTTCATCCCGCCTTGGGGCCATCTCCGGCTCACCCGGCGGGAGCCAGAAATGGGCTGGCGGTGAACGCGAAGCACCCTGCATGAGAAGTCCTCAGGGCTCTGTGTTAGAGGAAGACAAGGCTGCGTAAACATAAACTGTCGGAAGTCCGCGCGGATGTCTGTGATCCACCCCAGACCCTCCCTAGCGCGCGGAGCGCGCCAGGGGCGGCGCCAGAGGCGCCGCCAAGGGTGCCCAGCGCCGATCCGAAAAGTCCGCGCAGGGCGCCAAACACCCACCAGCCCTCTGGGCGCAGGTGGTCTGGAGCGTTTCCTTTTCCAGCATCCTGCCTTTCCCTGCTCGGGAGGTTTACCCCCCCCCTTCCCTGGGTCTGGACGGGCTCCCCCGCGAGGGTTAGACCGTACAAGATGGCCCAAGATAGCTTCAAGAGGGCAAGATGGCCTCCAAGATCGCTCAAGATACCTCAAGACGGCTCACGATAGCCTCCAACACGCATCCAAGAGGCATCAAGACGGCCCCAAGACTGTTCCAAGTGCCCTCAGAGCCCTCCAAGGACCCCCCCAAGAGGCCAAAATGGGTTCAAAACCTATGGACGATCAATGTGTTTTGCCTTTTCGCTTTTTCGCGTCCGATGGGCTCTTGAGGCGTCAAGACGGCCCCAAGATGGCCCAACATAGCCCCTAGAGAGGCCCAAGAGGACCCAAGACGGCCCCAAGAGCGCCCAAGAGCGCCCCAAGAGCGGTCCAAGAGGACCCCAAGAGGCCCGCTTGGGCCCCAAGGGGGGGGGGCGTAAATTTAAGACCACCCTCTTTTTGAGCGAAGGGGTCCACGACGGCCCCAAAGAGGCCTCCCAGACCCCCCCAAAGAGCCCCGAGAGAGCCCCACGCCTTTCCAAAAGAGCCCGACGAGAGCCTCAAAAGAGCCCCAAAAGACCCCCAAGAGAGCCCGAAGAGGGCTCCAAGACCCCGCTGAAAAAGCCAGAAGAAAGTCCCAAGAAGGCCCCCAGAGGACCCCCAGAGGACCCTAAAATGGCGCCCAAATGGCATTACGAGTATTCGAAGAACCCCTCACCACGACATATGCGCAAAGCCTGACTTCTCGTCCTCCTTGTAACCGTCCGTTCCTTATGTGTTTCTTTCCTGTCGCATCCCTGCTCCTCTCCTTCCTCCTCGCGCCGCGTTCCTCATGCTCCTCCTCCTCCGTACCTTCCTCCTTTTCCCTGCCACCGCGGCCAAGCGGTGCAGCCTGGGCGCCGTGTGGCACCTCCGGTATGAGGTGCACCGCCGATGATGATGCGGAGGCGGGTGCCCGCGGCTCACAGCGTCCAACCGGCTTGGTTGGAATGCTACTAGCCGCGGGCATATCGCTTGCCGTGTTATGATGAGGTTCTGGTGCTGGGTACCGTTGCGTGCTGTCTTGCTGGGTAGGCCCAGCACTTGACCAATCCCGCCCGTGGTAGGGCCTCCTCCCGCCCCGCCTGTTGGCTGGGGGGAAAGGGCCAGGGGGCGAGTTCACCCTGCGGGGTTGCGGTCGCTGGTCCAATGCTCGGGTCCTGCCCGTTGCTTTCCTATTTGCTGGTTTCCCCCCGAAGGCACGGCGTTTCCGGCGCTATTGGGGGCTAGCCAATAAATAGGAGGCCCGAGGACGGTTTCAGCTTGTGCCTGCTTCTTCTTTGTACGCGTGTGCCACTTGCTAAGGGAAGCTCTGATGTGTGGCAGGTTTGCCAGGGCATGCTCGCCCGCGCTATGTTCGGCGTCGCGTTTACCCGTATGGGCATGTTTAACGTTCTTCCCTCACGGGAAGACGAAACGCTTCTTAATTTTTCTGTTTGTCCTCCTCCTCCTCTTCCTCCTCCTCCTCCTCCTCCTCCTACTCCTCCTCGTACCCCCCAAGATGCCCCAAGGCATCACCAGCACCGACAGCACCGCTTGCTCCAAGATGGCTCTAAGAGGACAACACACCACCACAAGCAGCAACACCAGCAGCATCACCGCCAGCGCCACCACCATCACCAGCACCAGCAACCGCACGCGAGTCCAAGATAAACTTCAGTGCGGGGGCATATATCAGAGATGCATATGGGGATGCGACTCTCAATTGTGCGACAAGGGCGACACATGATGAATACAGTCGCCTGTGCCAGAAACGCGCACCACAGGAAACACCCAGGCGTACATTGCACACGTTTCCGTCTTAACTCTCGCTGCGGGAAGCTGTGTGTGTGATCCTTGTTTCTCACGGCCCAGGGTGGACACAGCCACATGCGCTAGAGACGTCTACCACGGGGAACACCACGTCGCATCTTGAACCGCATTCCATCCCAAACTTCAATGCGGGAAGCTATGTGTGATCCTTGTCTTTCTGAAGGCGGCCGCGTAACTGCATGCTTCCAGCCGTCCTTGATTTACCAACCCCATCTGGTGATCGTTTCTGGATGGGTTGGTGGGGATTTGTTTTTGGTACGCGGGCGCGCGAAACGGATCGAACGCCAGGCGCGCTGGTAGGGAAATGTTTGGTACGCAGGCGCGCGAAGAAGGTCGACGACATCAGACAGGAACTGACCAGGAAGTGCTGGTGGGGATATTTTTTTGGTCGCGGGCGCAAGCGAGAGCGCAGGCGCCGTCCAAGTAAGTCCGGGTTGCGGTACCCACGAATTTACAGCGAAAGCAAGCGGCGGGCGCGGGCTACCGGCCGAGGGCCGAATTAACTACCTACCACGGCTGCTCAGGCTGCGGCTGCACTGGACCAAGTACAGATCCACACTGCCGAATGCAAGTATGCCGAAGGCCAAACCCAAGGCAAAGCGCACACAAAGCGTACATGCAAGCATGGCGGTGGTACCAGGGTCGCTGCACTGCCAGGGGTGCACGCATGCAAGGCGATGGAGGGGATATTTTTTTTGGTCGCGGCCGCGAGCGAAGAGCGCAGGCGGCGAACAGGGTGTCCGGGCCGACGGGCAAGCCTAATCAGCTACTGAGCGCGACACGAGCCGGCCGGGCCAGCTCACAAGGCGGCAGCAGGGGCAGCAGGGCGGGGGCTGGCTGGCTGATCTGGGACGCCCAGGGAAGCCCGAGCAACGTGCAGCCCAGAACAACATGCCAAGGAATTCTGAATTACGCGCTGCGGCGCCAGACCACACAGGTGGAGGTGCAAGCTGAAACACAGGTGGGTGACCTGCACGTGCGATCCTCTCAAACATGGTGGCGGGGAGAGGCGGGGTAAACGATGGTCGAGTCGCCAAGGGGGCGCTAAGGGCCAAGACCGTGACGACGGCGTAGACCAGCCAGGTAAGCTGGACAGCCGCGTCGGCGGCGTAGACCTGCCTGGTCGGCTGGGACGGAGCCAGGATGGAACCCTGCGTACGACGGAAGGCTGAACCACTCCGAGGCGACCGCCAGTATCCATTGAGGCCTACCAGTCCCGAGCAAGGGCAACGAGCCGGCCCAGAGGACGGCGGGGATACTTTTTTGATCTGCGGCTCCAAGGACGATTCCAGAGAGCGGGTAGTATCGAGCATGGGGCGACGCGCATTATAATTACCAGCGGGCCAAATGCCAGCGCCGAAGTGCAAGCAAGAGCATGAGTAATCACGCCAGATAATTAAGAGAAGCACTAGCCGGACCGGGACAACGGCAGCATAAGGTCGCACAGCGGCGCCAACTCCCGAGGCGCAGGCCAGCGAAAGACCGGGGGGGAATGCGGAGGGGGAAGCAGGGGCGGAGAGCGCAGCGAAGGCGAAGCGAGCCGGAAAGGACCAAGCGAGATAATTACCCGCGGGCCAGAAGCCAGCGCGGGGATGCGCGGACGGGCGAGATAATTACCAGCGGGCCAAGAGCCAACGCCGGAAACAGGCGGGGACCAGGAACCCTCAATCACGGAGCAACTGAGGCTCATGGACCGTTGCACGTCACCAGTACGTGTAAGGCACCGTAGCACGGCCACAGAGAGGGGCGTGCGCCTTCCCGCCGACAGCACCGCGCGTAGGTGAGCCCAGGCGGGCGAACCGTGTCCGAAACCGATGCCCGCGAAGAAGCCGTCGTCAGCGCCTGCCAATGGGGGGTGCCACAGCAGAGACGTGCAGGGTGGAACGATGGGGCGGGCCCTAGGCCGACGTACCCAAGCGCTCGGACGCCCGGGCGGGCGAGGCGGGCCCAAGCTCGAGAACCAGGCCAAATCCCAACGCGCGCGTAGATTATTTCAGCCAGCGTCGCACGGGTAAGTCACGGTGCACCGTGAAAGAAAAGGCGCAACCACGCCATAGCGGTGCCCCACATCCAGGGGGGAATGCAACGAGGGCCACGACCTGTCGCTGAGATGAACCAACCACGCCGAAGGCCCTGTTGTGGTTGTGGAACGAAGGGGCGGGCCTTAGGCCGACGTACCCAGCCGCTCAAATTTGCGGGCGGGCGAGGCGGGCCCGTGCTCGCGAAAGCTAGGCCAAGTCACACCGTGAGCGAGGATTATTTCAGCCGACGTCACACGGGCTAAGCCACGGTGTGCCGTGGAAGGCAAATCGCAACATCCTGTGATGGTGGGGATACGCGAAGGGTCTAGAATTAGACAGCGGATGAATTACACCGGATAGTTGAAGGACGGGATGACTTAGGTACGAATGAGGTTGGCATCGGATGAATTAGGTCGGATGGGTCGGATCGGAGGAGTTAAACACCAGATGAATCAGCCCCGTTTCCACTCATCGCCTCCCTCGTCGCGTACCTTGTCCGAGTGAGATCCAGACCCCCGATGGCGGCGTACCCAAACCCACGACATCACGATTTGTTCATAACGTCAATCCCCAAATGTCTCCACGCATGCAATTCCTCGTCGTGAATCATTTGTGACAAGCCTGAGGCCTGGTAAAGGCCCCCAGAAACCGAACATATAGAAAAACCGTCCGTCATGTTTGTTTCATGACCCGAGGGTGATCTGGGTTTGAAAGACAACGCCATCGAACCTCGGCCGTCGACAGGCATCGGCCGTAGCAGCAGCAGCCGCGGACCGAAAGGCAGCAGCAGTGGAGCGGCCGCGGACCGACGACCGACGGCGAACACCACGACGACGGATGACGGCGACGAGGACGGCGGCGGCGGCAGCGACCTCATGGGGCCTCCCAGGGCCCACTGCGGTGGCGACGACAACGACGGCGGCGTACGTCGCGTCGCCCGCGGCCCGCCTGAGGCGAGCGGACGGCCCCAACGACCGCCACCCGCAGCGGCGGAGCGGCGGCGGGCTCCTGGGCGCCCGCGCGGGCCACTGCTCGGTGGCGCGGTCAGCTTACCGTCGCCGCCACCGTCGCCGCCGTCGTCGTCGTCTTTGTAGTCGTCGTCGTCGTCTTTGTAGTCGTGGTCGTGGTGGTGGTCGTGGTATTCTTCGTCGGTCATCGTCTGTCGCTGTCGTCGGTATCGTCGTCGCCGTCGTCGCCGTCCTCGTCGCCCCAACCGTCTCAGCCTGTGTGACCGTCGTGCGGGTCGTCATCGGACGCGTGTCATCGGGGCGGGCCTTCTCGAAGTGCTCGGAGGGCCTCTGGCCTTCCGAGAAATTGTCTGGGCCTTCTCCGAAGACGCAGAACACTTCTCAGAAGGCGCGGGTGCTTCTGAGAAGCCCCGCCAACTCCTGAGATGGCCTGTCCCTTCTCACTTTCCCCCAGGCGCGCCGCCGAGTCTTCTTCGTCGGCCGTCGCCGTCGTCGTCGTCGTCGACTGTCGTCGGTGACTGATGTCGTCCTCGTCGTTGTCGTCGTCGTCGCCCCAGCCGTCACCGTCTTCGCGATCGTCGTCACTAATATCGCACGTGTGTAATCGGCAGCGTCGTCGGCTCGTCGTCGCACCGTCGTCGTCGTGATCGCGTCGCACCTCTGGGAGGAGGAGCAGCAGAATGAGGGAGAAGCCGAGGAGGAGGAAGGGTGAAGGAGGAGAGATGCCTGCTTCCCCTCCTTCCCCGTCCCTCGGCCCTCGCCCCTATCTCCTCGTGCTCTCTTGTTTCTCCTGGCTTGATGGTCCTCGATTCTCACGACTCCCTTCGGAGCCTGGGGCCGCCCGAACAGCTCGCGATGGTCTACATGGCCTGAGCGCGTCCCTCCCTGCCGCCCACCGAGATCGCCGATCCCCTTGCTCCTCACCCCAGAGCGCAACTCGCGTAATTCGATGCAACCTGGCTTCCGCTACGACCGCACTGAGCTTCCGCCAGCGCTGCGACAAAACGTTTCCCCTGGCTCCGTGGCCTCTCTCGCTCATCTCGCCTGCCCCCGTCCTCCCGTCGTCTCCCGCCCTGGTCTGCTTGCCAGGGGGCGCGGCGTTTAAATCAATTGGGGCTGCTTGATTGGTCTGCGGGCCTATGCAGTGAATGCTCCTGGCCAGTGGGCGATTGCCACTGGGGGCTGCGAGCAGCAACACAAACCACAGCCCGCTGGCCTGCGTGCGTGCCGCGCAGGGTCGGCCGGCATCGGCCGCTCTCGGGCTCGCTCTCACACGCCTCCCCCCCGTGGCCACGCGTCCTAAAAAAGGACGAGTGTCGGGGCCGCGGCAGAGAGAGGGAGCAGAGAAAGGAAGGAGTGCGGGAGGAGGAACAGGGAGGGAGGAGGAAGTGGACTACAAAGGGAGAGAGGGCGGAGTGAGTGGATGAGCAGGTGCAGGAAGAACAAAGAGGAGAGGAGGAGGGAAAGAAGGCAAGGACACAGAAATGGTGAAGACTGGGGAAGACACAAGGCGGACAGGAAGGTGAGGAGGATATTCCCCTCTTCTGCCCACTACGTCCTCCCCAGCGTCCCTCTGTCCTATCCATTAGCCTTGATTGCCTGATCTACGTCATCTGTACCTCCACGCTCCTACTTCTCCCTCCACCTGCCTGCCCCCTTCCCCAGACTTGGAGGAGGCGGAGGCGGAGGAGGGAAGGGCGGAAGAGGGATGAAGGAAGGGAAATGGTGGGGAAGGAGGAGGAAGGAAGAAGCGGAGGGAGGAGAGAAGGAACCAGAGCCAGAGGAGGAGCAGGAGACACAGCCAGATCACGGGGAGGCAATGCTCGCCCATCTCGCACTCGCGCCGCCAGACGCACGACGCGACTACCCTGCCAGAGCGTGAGGCGGAGAGAGGACGAGGCGGAGGAGGACGACGACGAAGCACAGAGGGAGGAGGGATGACGAGGTAAAGCAGGGACGACGAGGTGCGGAGGGAGGAGCAGCGGCAGCAGCAGCTGCTGAGGCGGATGAGCAGCAGCTGCAGAGGAACAGTGCACGGAGATTCCCCGACTTGCCTGACCCTGTTGTACTTCCGCGGGCCTTCCGCCGAAGGCGACATGAGCCGCAGGCTCGGGTTGCCAATGCCCCTCCTCCTTATGCTCCCTGTCCCCCGTCGCCTCGTCATCCAGCTTCATCTTCTCTCATCCGGAAACGTTGAAGCGCTGAAGTACTCCAGGTCGAACGTCGGCCCTACCATAACGAAATTCCACACCCCTGACCCTACACTTCAAGTTGACGTCGTTGCGTACTTACAGGCCAGGTGTAATCAGGGGGTGTTCTCTGATCGTCCTCTCCTTCCTCCTCCTTCTCCCTCACCCCCTCTTATTCTCTCTTCATCCTCTACTCTTTATCCATACGCATAGTCCATGGCGGCAGCAACCCGACAACGAATCGAATCGGCAACGAAGCAGAGCCCGATCGAGACCGACAAGCCGAGGGCGGCCTAGAAGGACGCAGCGGCGCAACGACCGACCGAATCGAACCGATCGACGACAGCATGCTGCGACGCAGCCAGCCGAACCGATTCGCGGACACCAATGCTTCCCCACTGTTCCTAAACGCGAGGCCGCTTCTGCTCATTGCGGGGTGCCTGCACACAAATCCCTTCGGTCCTTGTCGTTAAGCGCCACGGGCAGCTCAACCACGAAATGAGCGCTCAGATCTACCTCGCGGCGACGATTTAGAATATAGGAGGAGTCAGAACAGGTAGAGGGGATAATCATACAAATGACGATGCGCACAAGGAGCAGGGTCTCGGGCTGGGGTTTGGGAAACAAGGAACAGGACCAAAACGATGCGGGGGGGAAATGAAGGGCATAGCTAGGATACCCAAGCGGATACGGAGGTACAGTGGGGGGTGATAGGGAAGCGGGATATGACTATAGCGGTATGAATGGGATGCGGATGATCAGGGTGGAAACGAAGAATGGTGAGTCGCAGGGAGACTGAGGCACGGGGGGAATGGACGAGCAGCAAGGAACACACACACGTGAATAGGGAAACTACATATACCAGGAAGGGAAGATGACGACGGAGGATGAGAAAGGGGAGCAGGAAACCTGAGTAAGAGGTAGGAATAGGGAGAAGGCCCCGCAGTTCGAGGAACGCATTTCGACTACAAACGGGCGCACCAGGTGGTTCGCGACCGCTCCTATGCGAAAGAGGAGGCAAGACGAGCCCCCGCCCCATGCCACGCGGGAGGCCCTCCCCCCGGAGGCGGGTATCCTCCCGATCCCGAGCCCCCCCCCCCTTGCTCGGCTGTGCTGGGACCCCTGCTCCAATCGCGCGCAAGGGAGGCAGAGGGAGCTGACGCGGATCAGGTGGCATCTCCTTGTATGTCTGAATGGACAATCGAACTCGTTCGGATGCCCTGACAAATTACGAGCCGCAAAACTGGATGGAACCAAAATGAACAACACTAGGCCATATTAGAATCACAGGCGTGTCCGGTCCGATGCTTGACCCGACCTCCTGGGAGCTGCACCCCGAGAGAAGGGAGGGCGGAGTAGAGGAAACGACGTTTCTTACCGATACACTTTCGCAGGTCCGCACTGATTTGTTGGATCGGCACTGCCCAGGGAAAACGCATGCACCCCCCATCCCCCATGCGGCACGTTGGCACCGATCCGCCCCAACCCTCCCGCCTACTCCGACACACACCCACACACACGCACGCACGCACGCACGCACGCACGCACGCACGCACGCACGCACACACACACACACACACACACACACACACACACACACACACACACGCCCGCACACACGCGCACGCACGCACACGCACACGCACACGCGCACACACAAACATACGCATGTATGTATGCATGAATGCATGCATGCATGTAGGTATGTGTGTATGTGTGTATGTACATGGTTACGTACGTACGTAAGTAGGTGAATGCATGCATGTATGCATGCATGTATGCATGTGTATATTCATATATGCTTGTATGCCTGCGTGTATGCATGTATGTATGTATGTATGTATGTATGTGGGTATGAATGAATGCATGTTTGCATGTATACAAAAATGCGTGTGTACAAATGTGTGTGTATGTATGTATGATTGTTTGTATACATGTGTATATATATATATATGTACGTCTGTTTGTATGTATGTATGATTAACAACATGTATGCATATATGTGTACGTACGTACGTACGTACGTATGTGTGTATGCATATGGGTATCTACATATGTGTGACGGTATGCATCTATACATGTATGCGTGTATGTGTATCAACCACGCGCGCGCGACGCGCGCGCTTAGGTGCTAGTCAATTCCGAATACCTCATCTTCATCCTCGTCCCCGTGAACTGTATCCTCAGGCAGGCGCAACCCCGGCCGGCGTCGTTGTCGTCGTCGGCGGCGTCGTCGCCGCCGTCGTCGTCGTGGTCGCAGACGGGGAAAGGGGAAGGAGGGAGAAGGAGAGGGGAGGGAGGAAGACAGGTAGGGAATAATGGAAGCAGACAAGCAGGAGAGGCACAAGGGAAAGGACGGGGAATGGAGAGAGGGATGGGTCAACGGATGAACAGGGATTCGACCTCGCTCTATGTATTTCGCTTCTTGATGTTGTTTCCTCCTCCTCCTCCTCCTCCACCTCCTCTTCCTTTCCCCCCCTCCTCCTCCTCCTATTCTTCCTCCTCCTTCTCCTCCTCCTCCTCCTCTTCCTCCTCCTCCTCCCCCTGCTCCTCCTGCTCCTCCTGCTGCTCCTCCTCCTCCTCCTCCTCCTCCTCCTCCTCCTCCTCCTCCTCCTCCCCCTCGTCGTCCTCCTCATCGTCCTCGTTCTCCTCACCTGCGTGCTCTGCTTCCGCGCTCCTCCTTCCCTCCTCGCCCTCCTCTTCCTCTTCAGACTGGCGGCGACAATCATGTTTCTGGCAGGCGTTCCGGGAACATGATTGTCGCCGCCAATCGTCCCAAGACAGGCTGCAAGACCTGCAGGACGGCCCAACGGAATCATTCGGAAAACCTCGGGAAAAAAGGGTGGGAGGAGGTGGAGCTTGGAAATGACATGGAGGAGGTGTGAAGTAACAAGGCGAAACGGCTGGAGCTGGCAAGGCCAAGTGGAGGAGGGTGAGAAAGAGCGTGGGGGTTTACGACACAAGGCGGAATGCGTTTCGGCCCAACCCGCCGACGTCCCTGGATCGTGGGTCGAAAGCCTGTAGGACGTTCGGTGGGATGTTGACGCAAGCCGCGCGGGGGCCTCTTGGGAGCTATTTCTAGGCCTTTGTTTTTGAACATTATTGGCCGTCTGGGGCGCCCCTGGGGCATCTTTGGGGCCCACGTGGGCTGGCATCCTCATGGTTGTCGTCTTGTCCATCTTCATCCATTTCCTCATTCGTTGCCTCTGTTTGCCGATTCCCTGTCCTCCTCCTCCTCCTCCTCCTCCTCCTCCTCCTCCTCCTCATCATCATCATCATCATCATCATCACCATCACCATCACCATCACCATCACCATCACCATCACCATCACCATCACCATCGCCATCGCCATCATCATCATCATCATCATCATCATCATCATCATCATCATCATCATCATCATCATCATCATCATCATCATCATCATCATCATCATCATCATCATCATCATCATCATCAACATCAGCATCAGCATCAGCATCATCATCATCATCAGCATCATCATCATCACAATCATCATCATCATCATCATTATCATCATCATCATCATCATCATCATCATCCCCTTCCTCCTCCTCCTCCTCCTCCTCCTCCTCCTCCTGTTTCTCCACTTTCTCCAAAACAGAACAGATCCCCGACCGACGAACGAGCGAACATCTGGCCCAGCGAGTGAAGGCGACGGCACGCCAGGGAACGACCAGGTTGGCGGTTGGCCTCCCAGCTTCGGTCCCGACCCTGCGCCAGGAGATGATGCCAGTCGCCCGAAAGCGAAGCTCCGACCAGAGTGTGCTTTACAGGACGGGTTGGTGCCTTCACAAAGCAACTTCAGACTCCGCGAGGCATCTTTATTACGTGGGTGGTCTAAACACTTACTGGTTAAGTATTGAGACCTACGATCCCCGAACGCACCGCACTTCGAACACCACGTAACCTGACCTCCTCCCATGTTCAACGTATGGGAGGGGCGAGCAAGACGGGCTACCTTCGGCAGCCCGGCACATGGGGTCTTACAGACTCCTGCCCTACTGCCTGTCTTCCCCCTCTGGAGGCCAGTAAAGACTCGTGGGCCACCTTGGGGGCTCCCGGAGGCGTCATGCCGTCCTGGGCCTTGGGGGCCCTCTTGGAGTGTCAGAATATCAACAAAGAGAGGGCACCGGAAACATTGGAAAAATCCGAGTGAAATCAATGAGCTTTGCTTCTCGGGGCACTTGTCTGGGGCATCGGACGCCCTCTGGAGCCTGCGATGGGCCATCCTGGCGCCTTGAGGCCTCCGGGGAGCTTCAGTGGGCGATAGACTCGAAATTTCGGTTCGTGCCCCCCCTCTGGAGGCCATCTTGGGGCATGCCGTCCCGGGGCCTTCCTGGGGGCCGCTAGGCCGGTCCTGAGGCGGTGTCGGAAGCCTTGGCGGCCGTCGTGGAATGTCAGAACATCGATAAAGAGAGGGCACCGGAAACATCGAAAAACCCAAGCGAAATAAATGATGTTTGCCTCTCGGGGTACTCGTCTGGGGCCTCCGAGCGCCCACTCAAGCTTGCCCAGTGCATTCCTGGCGCAGCCTGGAAGTGCTCTCGGGGTGTGCTAGACCCAGTCTGGTAGACTGTCGTGCCAATGTGTGGGCCCTCTGTGCGACCACGAGGCCATTTTGGGAACCACGAGGGCGCCCCTGGAGCCGCTGCGGCACCCATGTGTACCCGTGGTCTCGGTCCCAAGCCCGCCCGAGGCCTATTCCTCTCTCTCTCTCTCTTCATCTCTTTCTTTGTTGTTTGTTTTCTCTCTCTCTCTCTGGATATACATATGAAGATATATATAGAGAGAGATAGATATATAGATAGATAAATAGATATTTAGATAGATATATAGATAGATAGATATACAGATATATAGATATATAGATAGATAGATAGATAGATAGATAGATAGATAGATAGATAGATAGATAGATAGATAGATAGATATATATATAGATAGATAGATAGATAGATAGATAGATAGATAGATAGATAGATAGATAGATAGATAGATAGATGTATATATAGATATATATATATAGATAGATAGATAGATATACGTATGTACATATAAACATACGCTACCACTGACACGACCACTACCGAAATAGGGGGAGGAAGTAATGCAAGGTAACGGCGCTTGGGGTCGCAATATTGCCGGATGGGCACTGGTGGACCCCTGCGAGAAATCTATGGATGCAGGGTCAGGCCTGCTTGCCAGACACGCAGAAGGCACAATTGATGCACAGTGGCGTCGGGGAAGAACCCTCCGCCGCAGAGCGAGCAGAGGTGGGCCGGCAGCAAGCAGGGCTGGAGGAGGAGGAGGAGGAGGAGGCCAAGGAGGCAGAAGGGAGAATAGGAGGGCGGGGGCCCTGCTTGCCCTGTCCACCTCCTTCAACACCCGCAGCGACACGCGGAGCTCCACGAAACCGCCCGGCTGGATGCTGCCCTCAGACGGCTCGACCTCGGCCCCGCCCCAACGGGCACAGGGCGTGGGCATAGAGCAACTGCATAAACAGAAACTGTCGGAGGTCCGCGCGGATTTTCTTGGATCGCCCCTACTTGGCGCGCGGAGCGCGCCAGGGGCGGCGCCAGAGGCGCCGCCAGGGGGGGCCAGGGGAGATCCCAAGAGATTCGCGCGGAGCTCCGAAAGCCTGTGTTTCTCCAGCTTCTTGTTCTTCTTCGAGGGCACGGAGATCACTGGCGTGCCAGTGTGCGGAAAGCTCTGTGCCCCACGACGGAGAGTGAGATCCGAGAGTGTGAATGGCCTGGGAGCTGAGGTACTGCGCAAAATGGACATCTGATCGGATCTGGAGGCACAACCCAGGCGGCCCAGATGGAGAGGCTGGAGGAGGAGGACCTTCCCGGAGCCCTCAGGACCTAAGATCCGCACGACACCCCAAAGGCCCTCAGGACCCCGGGGGCCCCCTGGGAAAGATTCCTTACACCCACTCCTCCTCCCTAACGTGCCAACGCTAGCGGCAATGGGGTCCATCCGATGACGCGACCGTGGGCGGCCCGTTGGCCATCGTCATCCACAGTCATCCGTCGGCATCATTCGTCATTCGTGCTCTTCGTCGCCGTCGTCATCGTCGAACACTGAGATCCGACGGCGCGACAATGTTTTAAAGCGTGTAAAAAGCTGCCAAAACCTGGACTCTATCTTTCTGCTGCATTTTGCAAGCCAAATCGATCTGTGAGCGCACGAGACGCGGCGAAAATGCCTGGCCCGTAGACAGATAAGACGCCGGGACCTTACGGATCGTCGCCGTCGTCAAGGGCCCCGCGCTGGGCGCCCGGCCGCCGCGGTCGCCACCGCGCCGTAGCCCGGCAGCGCGGTGGCCTCTGGAGGAGAAGGAAAGAGGGGACCGTGACCAAGACTGAACGCGGAAACGTCGTGCCGATCTTGGCCAGGGTCCATCTGAGCCGAGGTCATCTCTTGAGGCGTCCTCGCGAACCGGCGACGCCTGACATGGACCATGACAAAGATCGTCGTCGACAAAATCTCGCGACATGTTGGTCATGGTCCCCGTATGAAGAGGCCTCGTAGATAGGGTCAGTAGGTGGGGTCGGAGAATCGGGCCGCATCGCCGATGCATCGTCGACGTCGGCGATGCATCGGCGCCGTCGGCGTGGAGAACACCGGGCTCCGCATCGAGGCGCATCGCCGATGCATCGGCGATGCGGCGCAACTCTCCGACCCCATCGGCTCGGACCACATCTGGGAGGCCTGGGATGTTGCCGAGCCTCCGGGCCCTCGGGGGGCAGCGGCGGCCACATCGCGGACAGCCTCCGCGAGGGCGCGCGCGGCCGGCGCCGCCGCCGACGCTGCGAAGCCGCCCGCGGCCGAGGCCGCCCGCGGCAGGCGCCCGCCGCGGGGCGCGCCTGCGCCCGCGGATGGCCGCCGCCGCCGCAAGTCGAGGGCCGAAGGTCTGCGAAGACAGACCGCCTCGGCTCGATTTTCTGCCTCTGGGGCCCCTTCTTGGCTCCCGGGACCGTCAAACAACAACTCAAGACGAAGAGCCGGTCCTGGGGAATGGGTCGAGACTTCTAGGACCCCCGCATTGAAACAAAAACATAGCGTCGGATCCCTGGGGGCCGAGGGTCTGGGATCGAGGCCTTCCAAAGAGGCCCAGAGAGACACAAGAGAAAAGACACACATTCCGGGATTCTCCCAATGTCTCCGTAGTTTCTGGGTGTTGCTTTTCCCCTCCTTTTCCCCTCCATTTCCAACAAATGTTCCATCCCGCTGGAAATATACGTAGCACCATGCAGATGCGGATGAGAGTGAGGGGGCGGTGGGGACGTCGGCAGTTTGCGAGACTCTGTGCAAGCCCGCGACAAGCGCCGAAGCCTCACACATTACACAAGGAGCCCACCGCAGGCGCCGATTTTTTCGTTCAACCAATGTGGGTGGGCCGCGGGTGGGTCGCCCATTGGTCGCGGGTGGGTCGCGGGTTGGGTCGCGGGTGGGTCGCAAGTGGGTCGCGGGTGGGTCGCGAGTGGGTCGCGGGGAGGGGCGCGGGTTGGTCGCGGGGTGGGTCAATGGTGGGTCGTTGGTGGGTCGCGGGTGGGTCGCGGTGTGGGTCGCAGGTGGGTCGCGGGTTGTGGGTCGCGGGGTGGATCGCGGGGTGGGTCGCTGGGTGGGTCGCGGGGTGGGTCGCGAGCGGGTCGCGAGTGGGTCGCGGGTGGGACGACGACAACAAACAACAATAACGCGACATGCAGAATCCTCACCACGGATCCCGACATCAGCCACGCACCCAAGGACAATGAATGACCGTTCGGGCCCCTCACTCTGAGTATTGTTTGTGTTCCCTCCCGACTGGCGCCCGCCGCGGAGCTGCCGCCGCCGCAGGTCGAGGGCCGAGGGTATGGGATCGAGGTCTTCGGGGGGCGCCCTCTTGGGCGCTTCTCTCGCGAGCCGCCCCTGGAGGCATCCAGGGGCCCGTGGAGCTCTCTGGAGGCGGTGAACGACGTCGATCATAGACGTCGTCGCAGCCGTCGCCGCCGCCGCCGCCGCCGACGCTCGTCGCTCGTCGCTGGTCGTCGCCGACGGCGCCGCCGTCGGCGCTGCTCATCATTGACGTCGCCGCTGGACGCTTTCCTCTCCTCTTGCTTTGAAGCATAGGTGCTGCCAACCACAGACTTACTGGCAAGTTCTACGTGGTCTCCGATCGGTGTGAGGGACGAAGATGAAGGTGAGGCGGGATGCGTTTGGGAATGAAAGGGGGAGAGAGGAGGCATATGAGGATGAGGGAGAGGGGTGGGCGGATGGGATGCGGATGAGGAGCACCAGAATTGAGGAGCAGGAGGAACAAGTAGAGCAGGAAGAGCATCAGAAGGAGAGAGAAGTTGGATAAGGAGCAATGGGGTGGGTGGCCTGATGACGAGGGAACAAGGGAGCAGGTGGAATAGTTATAGGCGGAAGGAGAATACAAACAACACGCGCCCATGACTGTACAAAGATTGGGGAATGAGGGGTCCGTACGGTACGCCTGGCTCAGAACATGGCCCCTCATCATCCTTCTCCAGCCCAGACCTCCACCGGACTGGTATTCATCCTCGGACACTGCCGCACACGACATGCATGTGTCTGCGTGTATGCGCGTGTGTGCGAGTGCGCGCGCATCTCTCGCGCATCGCAACGCTGTGCACGCACTGCATTTCCTCGGCACAAATTAGCCTCGCAATCGCGCGCGGTCAAACCGAAACATGCGCCTGTGCCCATACGTCTGCGCTTGCGTACGCGCCCGTTTTCAACATGTCTTTGCAAGCCGAAACGCGTTCCTACACCCCAAAGGGTCTGAACTGATTGGGGCACCAACAACATCGGTCAGGGGGAGGAAAGCCAAATCCGCTCAGAATTATTGGAGAAACTATAAGTGTACAGCTACAGGGGGGGGCTACAATTGCACAATGTCATGCTCATGTACGATTGAGGCGAGCAGTCAATATTTGCGGTTGACACCTATGGAGCTTAGGTAGGGCTGGTATTTACGGTTGCTGTTGCTGGTAAGTACATACGCAAAGCATGTACGGTCCCTACGTGCGGCCACTACAAACGGTTAAGATTTGCGCTTCGTATTTACGGCTGGTACTTTCGATTCGCATTTACGGTTCGTACCTGCGTCTCGTACTCACGGTGCATACTGGCGGGGCGTATTGGGGGGCATTTCTACATTTCGCAATTACGAAGCATGCATAAGATTCGAATGTACGGTGTGAATCTAAGTTGTGCATACACTGCGTATTGCTAATTCGTATAACAGCGCGTGTGTGTACACAACGTGCGTGTGTACACACACGCGCGCTGTGCTTTACGGTGCAATTTGAAGGTCAATGTTTACGTCTAATACCCACGATTACCCTTTACGGCCATTTGCGGTCCGTGTGCGCGATTTATACACGCTATGTCCACACACACACACTGTATACACACAATATGTGCTTTACAATGCACCCGTCTAGTAAGGATGCGCGGTAAGGATGCAAGGGACTTGGAAGGCCCGCCCCGCGGGGAAACTACCCTAAAGGGCTGGCCAGCGAAAGTCGCCAGGAATGGATCGAAGAGGCAAGGATGGAAGGGCACTTTGGGAAAATCGCGCATCCTTCATATGCGGGTTGGCTGCACGGTGTACCTTTACGGTCAAAAATGCGGTCTAACCTTAGGGTGAAGATTTACGAAAGAGCGTGTTCTACCGCTGCTGGCGGAAAACCGGGGGGGGTCACTACCGGTTCGAACCCCTCCCCGCCCCCCCCCCCCCACCGGAAAACCGGGGGGGGTCACTACCGGTTCGAACCCCTCCCCCCCCCCCCCCCCCCCCCCCCCCAGCTCATCATGAAAAGGGGGGGGGGGTCACTACCGGTTCGAACCCCCCCCCCCCTCGAAAACCGAGTGGGGGTGCGGACAGTGGTGGGGACGGTGTTGGTGGGGACAGTGGTGAGGGGACAGCGGGACAGTGGTGGGGACAGTGGGGGGACAGTGGGACAGTGGTGGGGACGGTAGTGGTGGGGACAGTGGTGAGGGGATAGCGGGACAGTGGTGGGGACAGTGGGACAGTGGGACAGCGGTGGGGACGGTAGTGGTGGGGACAGTGGTGGGGACAATGGTGGGAACAGGGGGGGACAGTGGACAGTGGTGGTGACGGTGGTGGTGGGGACAGTGGTGTGGGGACAATGGGAATGAGGTGGAAACAGTGGGACAGTGGAGGGTACAATGGTGGTGGGGACAGTGGTGAAGGCGGTGGCGAGGACGGCGGTGGGACAATGGGACAGAGGTACAGTGGGGACAGTGGTGGGGACAGTGGGGACAGTGGTGGGAACAGTGGGACAGCTCAGTGGGACAGCGGAGGAGTCAGTGGGACAGTGGGGACAGTGGGGATAGTCGGGCAGTGGTTGGGGCCGTGGAGACAGTGGGGAGAGTGGAACCGTGGTGGGAACAGTTCTGGGGACAGCGGGGACAGTGCGACAGTGGTGGGGCCACTGGTGGGGACAGTAGGGGCGGTGGTGGAACCAGTGGGGACAGCGGTGGTGAGGACAGTGGTGCTGGGAACACCAGTGGGGGATGTGATGCGGACGGTGGTGGGGACCGGGAGTCGTTTGCTGGCGGTGAGTAGGGGGGGGGGGGGGGGGGGGGGGGGGGTCGAACCGGTAGTGACCCCCCCGGTTTTCCGGATCGGGGGGGGGGGGGGGGGGGGTTCGAACGGTAGGACCCCCCCGGTTTTCGAGGGGAGGGGGGGGGGGGGGGGTTAGGGGGGGGGGGTTTTGCCGGGGGAGAGGGGGGGGGGGGGGGGGAGGGGTTCCGGCAGGGGGGGGGGATTTTCGGAGGGGGGGGGGGGGGAGACCCCCGGGTTCCGGAGGAAAAGGTTGGCAATTTTCCACAGTAAAGCGGCGGTGGATCACGCTCTCTCAGATTTACGGATCGTCTTTACGGTGTGTACACACACGCTGTGTACACACACGATGTGTACACACACGCTGTGCACACACACACACGCACACACGCTGTGTACACACACGCTGAGTACACGCGCGCTGTGCCTGATGATGCGTATGAACGGTTAGCACGTGCGGCGATTACTTCGGGTTAGCATGTACGGTGCATGCTTACGGTAACTACATACGTCTCGTATGTACGGTTAGACCCTACGGATGATATGTACGGCGTGCACCCACACACACACACACGCTGTGTACACACACGCTGTGTCCACACACGCGGCGTACACAAACGCTATGTAGGCACTTGCTATGTACACGCACGCGGTGCTTAACGGTGCAGACTTACGGCATAAACTTCAGGTATGCACACACACGCTGTCTACACACACGCTGAGCTTCACGGTGCATATTAGCGGTTCGCACGGGCGGTTAACACGTTCGGATAATACTCACAGTGCAAGCATACACTTAACACACGGTTGACATCTACTGTTCAACCTGCGGTTAAAGCTTACCGCTGTCTTACCACTGTGTACACACACGCTGTGAACACACACGCGCTGTGTAAACACACGCTGTGTACTCACACACTGTGGCTTTACGGTTGGAATCGAGGGCTTAGTATTTCCGGTCCGTACCTACTGCTAGCACTTACAATTGCTACCCAATGTGTACACGAAAACTGTGTGAATAAACGCGGCGCTTTACGGCGCATCTGCGGTTGGCGAAGACGGGCAACACTTACGATTCGCATTTACGAAGCGGACTTCATTTTAGTAGACAGTATTGATATCTAGGGATCGGATTCCCAATCATATTTGCGCTGTTTGCACACACGCGCTGTGTACGCACTCGCTACATAAACACGCGCTGGCACGTGTGAAGTGAAGGCTAGCAATTACGATCAATTCTTACGGTTAGACCACACGTTCAAGATTTACGCTGTGTGCACACACGCAGCGTGCACACACGTTGAACACATACATGTCGTGTACACATACTATATAGAACGGCGCATGTTTACGGTTGGTATCAGATTGAGGGGGCCGAGCGGTCATGCAGTGTCCCTGGGTGCGTGGCTGATATGGGATTCCGCGGTGCGGATTGTTGTTGTTGACATGGTTCGTTGGTTGTTGTCGCCGCGACCCACCCGCGACCCTCCCACTTGCTTTGTCGAGAAATTCTGCGCCTGCGGCGGCTTCGCTGCATTATATGATTAAAAAAATCGGCGACTGCGGCGGGATTCTTCACAACCTCCCAGGCTGCCGACACCTCACTCTTATCCGCAACTACAGCTTACGATGTATCCGGATTATCTATACGGTGTGTACGCACATACACACTGTGTACACACCCACTGTGTACACACACGCGCGCTGTGCACCAGTGCGCTGTATGGTGCGTCTTTACGGTTCGTGTATATGATGAATACCTACGGCGTGTACACACCAACGCCGTGTGTACACAAACACGGTGTACACACACGCATTGTACACACACGCTGTGTACACACACGAAGTGCTTTACGGCGCATAAATGCATCAATTACGTACGGTGAATACGCCTGGCTCGTATATACGGGGAACATTTACGGTGTGTACACACACGCGGCATGTACACACAACGCCATTTACACACGCTGTGTACGCACACGCTGTGCACACAAACGCTAGGGTATACTATATTCACGGTTGATATATACGGTTCGTGTGTACGGTCCGTATCTGCGGTATGTACACGCAGGCTATGTCCACACACGCTGTGTTCAAAAGCGATGTGTTTCACGATGCGTCCGTACGGTTCAAACTTACTGTCTAAGCATACTGTTAGTGTCTTTACGGCGTGTACACACACGCGCGCTGTGTTGTGTTCACACACTCTGTGCACACATACACACGTTTTGTGATCACACGCTGTGTACACACACTGTGCCTTATTGTGCGTGCTAACAATTATTACGTACGGTTGTGACTTCTGGTTGCCATGTACGGTGCATACATGCGGAACGCTTTACGGTCAATACGAACGATTAGACTATACGGAAAATCTTGACGGCGTGTACGCACACACACACACACGCTGTGTATATACAAACGTTGTCCACACACAATGTGGATTGAACACTTTGTACTTCTGCAACATTCAACTTCTAAACGTGTTATCAGACTACTTCTACTACGTGATTACGGTGTACCGTCTTCAAAAATCGGTCCCTCAACCTCTCCCGGAATACATCTGGTCAAAATGTTCACCCTGGATGCCTTTTTCGCGGTCGGGGACAGGAAAACAGCCCCCGGAGGCCGAAGAAGGCAACAAGCCTTCCCGAACCATGAACCTCGAACCTGCCCGCCTTCCTTTGCGGCGAGAATGATGTCATGACATTTTCTCAGGATGCGTTCCAGGATTTCGGGCCTCGTTTTTCCCGACCCTGTCGAACACGGGTAACATCGGTATATGGAAAAACTCGGAACACATGGACCGGATCGGAATCATGACCACATGCTCCTCTGATTCTTGCTTGGCGGAAACAATGAATGTGCTGGGCCACCTCACTCCCAGACGGCTCCAACCTCCACCCGCTACATCCTTGGACGCATCGTGTTGACACGATCGTCCCATTGCCAGCGGAGGAAAGATGCTCTGCTCGCGCCATGGCTTTTGTTGTCGGCGGCAGGCCAGGCCACCGCCAGCAGGCCGAGCGAGGTGACGCACGGCCCTCCCCCACGCCCTCCAGCCAGCACTCCAGGTGCCGTCGCCGCTCGCCGACGCCGAGGCCGACGGCGACGCCGCCGAAGACGTGGCCCACGACGACGCCGCCGCCGACGCCGACGCCGACACGGCGAAACCCGCGCGCCAGGGCCGCCGGCCCTGCGCGGCTGGCCCGGCAGCGACGCCTGCGCGCGCGGGCCGCGACCTCGAAGGTGGCGGCCGGCCGCGGCACTGACACTCGGCGCGGCGCGGCGTCTGCGGGGCGCGGCGCGGCCAGCTGAGGCCGCACCGGCGCGTCGTGTGCGCCAGCGCGGCAGCGGTCACGACTGGCCCCCGCCCGGCCACAGCGAGACGCGCCCCGCGGAGCGCCCGCGCTGCTGCTGGTCCGGCCGGGCGCCCGCGGCGTCTGGCCCGGGGGGCTGCTCGGAGCCGCCAGCGAGACCGGCGGGCTCCTTGATGCGGGGGGGGGGGGGCCTTTCGCATCTCGTGTCACGGGAGATCGGGGCGGCAGGGGGCCTGTGGGGACCAGCGTCGGGCCCTGGGTCCGTGAGAAACGACCAGGGACGAAACAAGCAGTTGCCGAGAAGGGGTCGAAAAACCCTGGAGTTAGGCCCACGTAAAAAGTCCCACCAGCCACCTGGGCGTAGGTGGTCTAGGAAGTTTTCTCGACCAACCCCCTTCTTCCCCTTCGGGGAGGGGTTTACCCCATCCCCTTACCGCCTCCCCTGGACTTGGACAGGGGTGGTCGCGGGTAGTTGGAGCGTCCAAAATGGCCCAAGGTGGCTCCAAGAGGGCCTGGGAGAGTATGGCCTCCAAGATGGCTCCAGACTGTGCAAGATCGCTCAAGACCGCTCCAAGATGCTCACTGAGGCCCCAAGACCGCCTCAAGACGGTTCCAAGTGCCCAAAGAGCTCCCCAAGGAGGCGGCCAAGAGACCAACATCCTCCAAGCAAGCACTTATGGGAAATATATGTTGTTGGCTTTCTCGCCAATTCGCTTCTAATGGTCATCCGAGGCCTCAAGATGGCTTGCTCCACGATGGCCCAAGAGAGCACCAAGTGGGCCCAAGAGCGCTCCAAGAGCGCCCCATGAGGCGACCTTCAGCAATCTAGAAGGGCAAGGCTAATTGAAGCTCCCCTCTGTTTGTATCGATGTCTTCAAAGATGGCTCCAAGATCGCCCCAAAAACTCCCAAGAGGGCCCCAAGAGGCGCCCACACAGCTCCAAGAGGCGCCCAAAGGGCCTCCAAGAGGCTCCCAAGAGACCCCCAAGAGGCCTCGAGAGGATCCCCGAGGCACCCAAGACGCTCAAAGACGGCACTGGGCCCGCCAAGATGCCCCCCGGATGGACCACGAGGCCTCCTATTATAGCCGGAGTGCAGTATCCCCAAAGAGGGTTTTTAGACCCACTGCGGTTTCCAAGGTCGATTGCGTGCCCGCCTAGTGCGGGCTGGCATGGCATGTTAAAACATGCCTCCTCCTCCTCCTCCTCCTCCTCCTCCTCCTCGTCCACTTCCTCTTCATCCCGAAAGGCATCTCGGAACCCAGAGTTGCGAGGATGTCTCCAGCGTAACGGGCTGGACCACCTCGCGCGCGGCATTTCGGACCCCAGAGTTGCGACGATGTCTCGGGCGAAACGTGCTGCGAGGAAGTCTCAGGCGAAACGGGCCGGACCACCTCGAGCGCGGCGTCTCAGAGCTCCGAGTTGCGGGGGCCTCCTGGTGCCTCCTGGGGCCTCCTGGGGACCTCCTGGGGCTTCCTCCCAGGCCTCCTGTGGCCTCCTGAACTCCACCTGAGGTTTCCTGAAGCATCTTGGGGCTCCCAGGGGGGATATCTAACCTGTGGCCGTTTGGGCCTCTCCAAATACAGGGGGGGGCCACAGGAGCAGGAAAAATCAACGAATCGACACCGGATGTGTATTAACTTGACACGTTCTGATAGAGGGCCTCCTGGGGCCTCCTGGGAGCCTCCTGGGAATCTCCTGCGGACCCCTGGGGCCTGTCCTGGGCGTCCTGCGGCCTCCTGAAGCTCTCTGGGACCTCCCCCTCCTCCTGCCTGCTCCCTCATGCACATCATCCGCCTCCTCCTTCTCCCTTCCATCCTCCTCCTCCTCCTCCTCCTCCTCCTCCTCCTCCTCCACCTCCTCTTCATCGCGAACGGCATTTCGGAGCCTAGAGTTGCGAGGATGTCTCCAGCGTAACGGGCTGGACCACCTCGCGCGCGGCATCTCGGACCCCAGAGTTGCGACGATGTCTCGGGCGAAACGTGCTGCGAGGAAGTCTCAGGCGAAACGGGCTGGACCACCTCGAGCGCGGCGTCTCAGAGCTCCGAGTTGCGGGGGCCTCCTGGTGCCTCCTGGGGCCTCCTGGGGACCTCCTGGAGCTTCCTCCTGGGCCTCCTGTGGCCTCGTGAACTCCACCTGGGGTTTCCTGAAGCCTCTTGGGGCTCCCAGGGGGGATATCTAACCTGTGGCCGTTTGGGCCTCTCCAAATGGAGGGGGGGGGGGCACAAGAGCAGGAAAAATCAACGAATCGACACCGGATGTGTATTAACTTGACACGTTCTGATAAGCGGCCTCCTGGGGCCTCCTGGGAGCCTCCTGGGAATCTCCTGGAGACCCCTGGGGCCTGTCCTGGGCGTCCTGCGGCCTCCTGGTGCCTCCTGGGCCTCCTGGGGACCTCCTGGAGCTTCCTCCTGGGCCTCCTGTGGCCTCCTGAACTCCACCTGAGGTTTCCTGAAGCATCTTGGGGCTCCCAGGAGGGATATCTAACCTGTGGCCGCTTGGGCCTCTCCAAATGGAGGGGGGGGCACAAGAGCAGGAAAAATCAACGAATCGACACCGGATGTGTATTAACTTGACACGTTCTGATAGAGGGCCTCCTGGGGCCTCCTGGGAATCTCCTGGGGGCCCCTGGGGCCTGTCCTGGGCGTCCTGCGGCCTCCTGGACCTCTCTGGGGCCTCCTGAGGCTCGCAGGGTCCCATGGAGGATATGTAACATGTGGCCTTCTGGGCCCCCAGGCTGGACCACCTCTTGCGCAGCATCTGAGAGCTCAGAGTTGCGAGAATATCTTGTGCGAAACAGGCCGGACCACCTTGCGCACGGCATCTCAGATCTCAGAGTTGCAAGGATTTCTCAGGCGAGACGGGCCGGACCACCTCGCGCAGGGCATCTCAGAGCTCAGAAGTTCGAGGATGTCTCAGGCGAAACGGGCCGGACCACCTCACGCGCGGCATCGGGGAGATCAGAGTTTCGAGGATGTCTCAGGCGAAACGGGCCGGACCACCTCGCGCGCGGCATCGGGGAGATCAGAGTTTCGAGGATGTCTCAGGCGAAACGGGCCGGACCACCTCGCGCGCGGCATCTTGGAGCTCAGAGTTCGAGGATGTCTCAGGCGAAACGGGCCAGACCACCTCTCGCGCGGCATCTGGGAGCTCAGAGTTTCGAGGATGTCTCAAGCGAAACGGCCCGGACCACCTCTCGCGCGGCCTCTCAGAGCTCAGATTTAGGAGGATGTCTCAGGCGAAACGCTCAATCCCGGACAACTTAGAAACGAGAGTTGTGAGGATGTCTCAGGCGAAACGGGCCGGACCACCACATTTGTTTGAGGATGTCTCTGCTTAGCTTTCCCTCGGCCGGAATTAGCTTCTATCACAACAGCACCCCGTTCAGCAAGCTGTTTGGGGAAAAAGCTTCCGACCCACATCCGAGCAGACTCCGAGAGACATTCAGGAGCCTTTAACTCTTCTGTTCGTCCTTTTCCTCCTCATCCTCCTTATCCGCTTCCTCCTCCTCGCTCCTCCCTCCTCCCCCTCCGAGGATCCGCCGCTGCCCGCCGAGGAGTCTCTCGACACGGAAAACGAGGCGGCCAGGCTCACGGGCCTGGAGGAGACCGCACCCGCCTCGGCCTCGGAGGTCGCCCCGAAAGCACGTTCGCCCTCCCCGCCCCCTCCTCCTCCTCCTCCTCCGCGTGCAGCTCATAGCCGACAGAACTCGAAGGAATCGAGCCGCTCCCGAGAGAGGCGACGCAACCGCGTCGCTCCGTGGCACTCCGAGGCCATCCGGTGGCCCTGATCGTAAAGTTGGTGGTTTGCGGTTTGCTCCCGGGGCCCATGTCCCTGAGGGGCCCAAGCGGCTGCCCAGAACCAGAAAGCACGACCCAGCCTCGTCAGCAAGCGTCCGCCGCCGCCGCTGCCCCCTCCTCCTCCTCTACCTCCTCCTCCTCCTCCTCCTCCTCCTCCTGTCGTGGTTCAACGTTATCCTCCTCCTCCTCCTCCTCCTCCTCCTCCTCCCTCCTCCTCGCCCTCCTCCTCATATTCTTCCTCCTTCTCCTTTTCCTTTCCATCTCCTTATATTCCTCCTCCTTCTCCTCCTTGTCCTCGTCAGATCATGGCAACTCGTCTGGACATCGTTTGTGGATGGGCTGCCCTTTTCCTCCCCCTCCTCCTCCTTATCCGCCTATTCAATTGCATGCTCCTCCACATCCCTGATCAACGCAACTCGCCTGCGCGTGGATGGGCTGGTGTTTTTTTTCGTCGCGGTTGCAAGCGGAAGCGCAGGCGGCGTCCGAAATGTGCCCGGGCTACGATCCAAACCAGATTACCTAAGCGCGCGAACCAACTCAACCTTGTTGTTCAACCACGTCCAGCTCCATGACCGCCATCACCATCGAGTGCCCAGGACACTGACAATTCGATGGCCTTGCGAGCCAGCCCGCGCCCAATCTTCACAGAACGCGCCACGTGGTCTCGCCGGCCCCTGGCCCCTGGCCCCTTTCCCTTCGCGAGGTTGACTCCGACATCGTAGCCTCTGAAATCGAGATCTCTAAGACGTCGTCCAAAGCCAGACCCTGCTCCCGCGCAGAATCCCCCACTCGCTCGAGATTTCCCTCAAATCTCACCGCGCCTGACCTTTCCCGATCCACGTTGGATCTCATCCGCGAGCACTCGCGAGCCCCGGGGCCCCAAAGCGCCTCGCGTTTGAAATGGGCTCCTGAGGCCGATGGCCCACGACGCGCCGGGTCTGGACTCGGCGGCGGGCGCCGGCTGGCAGCCCCCCGACTTCGGCAGCGCTGGCCCATTTGCAAATCCAGCGCGGCGCGCGCGCTTGCGCCCCCAGCTCGCGCGGCCGCGACGCAATGACAGCTCGGACACTGCCTGATCGCAACCCCTGCGAGCACTGTGCAAGCCCTCTGGCGAGCACCCCCCCCGCGCGGCCTCGGGCGAGTCTTCTCCGCCCCCCCCGAAGCCTGGGCCCAAAAGGGATCCCCAGCGGGCAGGCTGCGCGGGTTCCCCGCCGCCCAGCGCGGTGTCGCGCTGCACTCGCATTGCTTCCATCGCGTTCGAACGTAGGTCAGGATGCCCGCAGACAGGCTCACGCGGCGCCCGCCTCCGCGTGAACGCGCGCGCCCGGAACTACCGCGGAAGACCCCGCTGCAGAGGGCCACGCCGAAACG